AAGCTTACGATAGGCGTTCCCGATAGAAGACAAAGGTCTTGTACTATCAGTAACGTAGGCAAAGGCCTAGTACTATCGTAGGACTAAGCAAAGAAACAGAAGAAGAGAAGTATCATTCCCCGTCGCCAAGAACTAACTATCCATGAAGGAATCGTTACAGGACGATAGGAGACTTCCTTCGAGGAGAGAGGCTTTATGTTTGAATCTGTCACTGAAAGTCATATTTAACATGTGAAGGACGATATAAGTGTTGCTGCTTTGCATGTTGGCATTGTTCTAAGCCAATTGAGTGGTGGCGACACCATGTATATACTGATAAAGTCTATCTTCAGGTTGGACAGCTATCCTGGCGACCAACCACATGATGTAACGTGTTCGCAAGGTGCTATTCACGTTATCGGTAAAGAATACGATAGTTGGCAGGTGGCCTGCTCTTCCGGAGAGGATACGAGAGCTGAGAACTAAAGGAGGCTTCGAGGGTGTACTGAGAAACAAAGAAGTAACCGTTCAACCAAGTATATTGAAATACTGTCTGTCGAAGTCTGCCTTTTCTATCGTAGAAACAGGCAGTCTTTAAATACACAAATCTGTTCATGTCTAGTATGAACGAAACTAATCAAAGGTACCAATCGATACACTTTGGTAAAACTCTTTAAGTATCAAAACAATACTTAAAACAAAACATAAAACAAAACCAAGTATCAAACGATACTTAAAACAAACCAAGTATCAAAGCGATACTTAAAACAAAACATAAAACAAAACCAATAACCGAGTACCCGTACCGGTTACACATGATGCCCTCCTGGCACAGCATTTGAGGAAAGGTATTTGGCTCGTACCTTTGTAGGCCAACCAGTTACCATTCAGTTCTTTGGCACATTTACATCACAAGCACAAAGCCTACTCGTTTCTCTCTGGCAAAGACCTGAAGCAGAGAGGACCTCATTCCAAGACCATCTTGAGTTCAATTCAATACAATATATGGATGAGGTAATGGTACCACATATTATGCCACTCTATCAGCAGATGGGAGGCCAGGATTCTGGTACAGAGATGATCAAAGATCAGGCTAGCTATCATACTTCAGCTTTTACCCGACATTTTTGACTTCTCAATATGATTAAAAGAATAGATTGGCAGGCCCATTTACCAGATATGAATCCAATCGAGAATGTATGGTCTGTGTGAAAGGATATGTTCAGGAAGGTTATACGGAATCGTGCTCGACATCCTCATGGTAGTGATGAGATTATACGGCTTGCACAGGATGTATGGGAGGGGTTGCAGTAGGGTCAAATATATAAATGAATTGATGGTATGCTGAGGCGAATTGTGGCTTTGAGAAAGGCCCATGGAGGCCCTACCCGCTGGTGATTCCACTATTGTAGCATACTTTTAAACTACTATAACAATTGATATTTCATTATTTCTTACTGTTGAGATTTTGTCTTGTATTGTTGAACCTCCCCCCCGCATGAGTTGTGCCAAGCCGCCTCGTTTCAATACTTTTTTCACGTGGCTGCCACTATTCCTACATGACAAATGCCAAGACAACTACCGACACTTCGGTAAAAGGTTTTCAACCATCTATGCTGCCGCCCTCCCCATCTTCCCCATCTCCCCTCCTCGCCCACAGCCCACCCACCCATCCCCATTCTTGCCTACATGTTATACACAACTACTATGACTGACGCCCACCCGGAAGGTATCTGCTATCCCTCGAAAGGCGTTGGATTCGCCCAGCATTGGTTTCCACCTCGCCCAAGTATCAGCTATGCCAACTGGGGCGACAGATCAACACATGGCACAGCGCTATGATACAGGCACGGTTTGGATTGACCTGGTGGTGGGCTATACGATCGGCTTCCTAATCGGGGCTATGTGCGGCCACGCCATATCACAGGTTTTGTGCGCCCGTGCCATGACTGATAATCCTTTGGTTGCGGGGGGGGGTGTCCGGGCCGAATCGGAAAAAAGCTCGCAGACGGCACACCCGCTACATCACAGGCCGCTGCTGCCCACACCGACATCCATGCCTACCCCGATGTTGATGGCATGGTACCTGCCATTGCCATTATGCATCTCGTAGTCCTCGCGATATCCGAGTGCGCTCTCATCCTCGTCGTTCGGATTGGAACGTGGTGGTGGGTATAGGTGGTAGTAGTGGAGAGGGTATGGAAACGTGGTCTGTGGCCTTCTAATTGAAAGATGACATTTTAAACCTTTGGGCGTGTATATCCGTAAGATGTACCACTATAAGGATTCAAGTTGGGTGATGTGTTGGCCCCTCGATTGACCACCTGTATGTACATATATTACCGAGCTTGCTGATTGGATTGCAGGCACCCTCTCTCTCGAGTAGTGCGTTCATGGCGGTGTCAATCATATGTATATAGAATCATTGGACATTCCATAAGCATCCTGTGATCTACGCTGTGCATCCAACATTTGGATTGTTGGTCTGGTAGGTAGAGGTGGAAGGCTCTGTTATTAACTGCGGGGATACCTTACTTATGCAACTGCCCCCCCCCCCCATGCGGGCTGCTTGAACGGGCCTCCTCGCGCCGCCATGCGAGGCCGATGGCGCTGTTATACGCCCCCCCCGACATCCGCCACCTCCGGCACTGCCCAAGGCTTCGGGCGGACCACCTTCCTTAATGATCAGTGCCATTGCAAAGGTCACAACAGCTGCGCGACCACGCCCGCCACCGCCAGCCCAACCTTCATACCTCAGTTTATATCTTCGCCCTGTAGGTGCTACCGTCCCCCCTTCCTTCGTCCCTTCTGGGGCATGCCACCGAAGCATATTGAATGATTAGTGAAAGAGCCTCAGAGGGGGGGGCACGGTCAGGGCGGTTGTTGTATTTCGTTGTATTGTATTCCTTGTTTACTTCGTTCTTTCACAGGAACCTCCATCTTTCATAGTAGGCCATACTGCGCATTCTGGCCCACCATCCGAGCGACACGGAAGCGCTACCTTTACACGATATATTCATACGCAACACCTCTTCCACAATGGGTAGGTGCTAGTTGTGATACCGGGTGATAGGCCGTGATCGCCGTCTATTTCCACCCATCCACCTGTCTGCCTGACCGACATACGCTATCGTGAGGGGGGTTGCCTAAATAAGGTGTGGGGTGAAGGTAATCTCTGTGCCATGAATGAAGGTTTTTTGGTCACCTTTATTCATCTCTTTTTCTCACCGCAAGACATGTTTTGTGCGAACGGGCGACTGAATGCGGAATGGTGTAACAAGGCCTATGTGGGTGTGCGGAGTCGGGTCAGACCATATAAAGCACGGGGAGGGTACAGTGGTGTGAGGTGCTGGGCCCACTGGCTGTTGATTCCGAGCGAGCACCTGTGACCCCTGGCTCTTCCGATGGTTAATTTGGTAATCACTTATTCCCGGGCCAAGAGGACGCTCAAATGCTGGTATAACACCTACCACCTGCCCCAAACAGAAAGCCGATATTGACTCAAGCTCCCCACATGTGTAGCAAATGAGAATGTACCGAGAGCCGACCAAGGACCGACCATCCTGAAATTCTACAGGCCCACCGCGGGTTGAGAGACTCCTTTTCAAATAACGGCGGGGTTGCAGCAACAGGATAAGGCACGATCACATAATAGGACACGGGTAAGGAAAGAGGATCTCTGTTTCGCACTTCTGGCTAAGAATGGAAAGGATAGGAGATATATAAAGCACATTTCCCAATCCTTCTAATGATCACCACACATATCCATTCTGTTCTATTCCACACATGTCTCCCGGGCTCTGTCTTTCAGACTCCCGTGCTACCAAAATAAGAAGAAAAAAGGTATATTCTTCTCCCACCTACCACCTACCACCTACCACCAACCTTCCATGCTTATGACCTTTCTGCAGCGACGAACAACGGGCAACGATCTCCGTGCAACAGCGGCCAGCAAACGGGTGATGACATACGAATGAGCCGATAGTGTGTGTGTGTATGGGCGACAAAGGACAGATATCAACGATAGATATCAGCGACAGAGAGGGACGATGGATACGGACGATAAAGAGCGACGATAGCGGTAACGGGAACGGCAGCGATACGAACAGGCAACAGCGTATGAGTGGGCGATAGCGGATGAACGGATAAGAGATGACAAAGAGCGATGATAGCGAGCATGTCGAGCAGCAGCTTACGATTTCCCGCAACCCTTTCCCAGAAGAAGGACCCCATAGGAAAATGAGGTGGCAGTTGACACGACCATATCAATCCCGGGTAAGCCCCACCTGATCCGCCTTGCAACTCTGCTGCGACCCATTGCCCGGCGCCCAGGAAATGTTTGGTTTCCACCCGCAATCAGCACACGAAGCGCTGAGGGCAATGTGACCAGTGGTCCACCCGTAGTACGGTATGGTAGTTGATGAGAGTGGAGCATGATACTACACGGAGATGTTAGACACAGTGGTTCAGTGCTACGAGTACCATGAAATCCACTATATCCGGCCTCTCACAAATTTCCCTGTACCTCGCGTCATGCCAATATAAGTTTAGTTGTCAAGTTAACGAAGACGAACACAGCCAAAAACGGAGATTAGGGGGTGCCAGAGATAGTGGATTTCATGGATAGGAGCACGACTTCAGATTACTAAACAGAAAAAGTAATCATGCTGAAGAGACCTTCCGCCCTGATCCCAACTCACCTCGAGGATATTCGTGTGAGCACATTACCGGTATCGTACAAGTAGCATTGTTGGCACTAAGTTACAAGGGTTTGTGCCATGGCACAGCCCTCCAAATCAATGTGCCCGGCACGGCACTACGTAGTGCCCAAGCAATATATGTAGCAATAAAATGACTTTGCAAGAAGAAAAGACTGCGGAAACCAATGGCTTACACCCACCACTAATCAAACCCGCTCCATCAAATGACTTAATGACCTCCTTCTCCGCAACACCAACTATGAAAACACACCCCGGCCTCGCCCAATCCCCCTCGTCCTAGCCGCAATTTGACTACCCCCGCTTTAGTATCACTAACCTATCGGGACACTACTCACCCTTTCCCCTGCCTCTTTGAACTCAGACCCTGGAAATGGCACCTTATCACCCTCCTCCCAATACCAACGCCTAGTCTCCGCAGTTCTCAAGAGCTCCACCGGTGGCGGACACACCCCTGATCCAGCGCTCTTCAACCCGCGCTGTTTCCCCGGTGATTACAATGAATTTGGCCCCAGTGGGGCTGGAGGTGATCCCGGGGGTCCACAGTAAACAAGCACCAACACTACAAGTCTCCGAGATGCAGAACCTGAACACAGGGATTAAAAGTTCCTATGGCAGATTGTATGTGCAGGTCTGAGCGCTCATACTAAGTTCAGACTCAAATGTTCTGGTCCTTCATGCTGGGGACTTGTATATTTGACCGGCTGACCGAGAACATGCCAGACCCTTACCAGGAGGAGACTGGCGGGTGGATTAGGCTTGAAATGCTGGCAACAGAGACGTTGGATCAGAAGTTCGTGGATCAATTCTTGGCCCTTTAGCCGGCGTATGCTTGCCCTCCTGTCTGGTGTAGTTTTCCTTTCTCATTTTTCGTCCGCCCTTCCCGTCCCCGTCGGAGTGAATCTCGCTCGGCTTCCCTCCACTTGTTTGCTTGTTTCCTTCATCGAGACTTATGCGCTAGGTTCCTCTCCCTTCTTTTTCCCAATTTATTTTTTCTTCTTCCTTCCTCTTTAGGGTTTTATATTCAAGTCATAGGTTGTTCTGAGCAGAAAGAAACATAACTAATGTGGAGAAGGAGGGAGGGGGGTTGGTCTTCAAGCCAGGGCAAGGAATAAACAGCATTGCATCATACTCTATTCCTAATGTGTGAGATGAAATGGAAAAAATGGAAATTGACGAGAAGAACAAAAAGAAAGAAAACAAAAACGTAGAGATCATGCACCACATTCCACCAGAGGACTCCATGGGTTAATTACCATTCACGCTCCAGTATGGGCTCTGGTTTGGGTATCAAACCTGGAGTAGTAATGTTTTTGTTCACATCGACTCCAGATCACCAGATTGCAGTCCCCCATAAGATAGCAATGGGGGAGGGGCTGGAGGGGGGGAAAAAAAGTGGGAAAAAAAGAGAAAACAAAAAGTGGATAAGCAGAAAATAGCGCACTAACTCTCTTCATCAAGGCCTATCTACATGTAAATCAAGAGAGGTCTTGCCTCTAGCAATCATAGACTCGGTAATTACATATGGGATAAGAATAGTGAGGTAGCGAGGAAGGGGGAATGTAAATCAGAGAGGAAAATAAAAGAGGCAATGAAGAAATACAGGTTTGCTGTGAAATAAAGGTGTAATTGACCGTTTGGGTGTATAACAGGTTTCCTAGGAGGGCGCAAGAACTATTGGGGCTGTGTAGGAGGGGGTTGAGGCAGCATGGGTGGTTCGGCTGAGGAGAGCTCATTCTCTACCGACTTGGGAGCAGAGTTCTTGGAGTCCCATACCGCTTCCCGCCAATCGGGGTCTGTCTGGAGAGGGAGGGAGAGAGCAGTAAGAATAGCAGTATCAATTTTTTGTCATTCTCTGGGCTGACAGCGAATGTGTTTATCCTCCCCCTGCTGGTATGTTTTGCTTGTTCACGGTGGATTATAAAAGTGGGACTGTGAGGAGCTTATATCATACTCGAAAAACTGGTTGGTAATGACATGGTGGATAGTGCCGCTCAACTCGAATTTCTGTCTTATCATACACATACACTGGATGGCGGTGACACAATTTGCTTGCTTGCTAATATCACTATGATAGTACCGAACGAGCTAGCGGAGATGGGCCGAAAGGCACTCACTGTAGGTCACGAGCGGTGTGCCATCTGATACAGTACGGTATACCGGCACCGCCGCACTTGGTTCTTCGCGGCCTTATTGGGCGCGGAGGTAATGGAGCTCCCACGAGTGGGGGGGAGGGGCACTGTGAATGGCAGTGTTTGCCAAGGAGTTCTTTTCGAGTATTGGCAGTAAGGACATTTGATGATCCAGGAGGCAACTGGGCACAATCCTCCTGTATGCGGAAAGTGATTGCTGTTCGGCTCATTAAGGGAGAGTGTTCTCACCTATCTTTAGCCTTCTCCATAAAACGGGAAACAAACTTGGATAAGCCCCACAGAAAGGAAAACCGAAGGGAGTTGGACGAACAAGAGCTATTCCTGATAGTAGAGATGGAAACTTGATGAGTTCAAAAGATCATGGGCACGAGTACAGAAATCCTCATAAATATAAAGACTTCATTCCCTGTCCACGGAGGTTATATCTTCTTCTTTTTGTTTTCTCTACCGGTTATCTCTAAACTATCGTATAAAAAAGGGAGTCTTCCCCTTACCCATAGTGCTCCCAGCACGGATGATGAAACTTCCTCTCTATACATGTTGAGACACGTACCTCCATGCCGTGCCCATATCCTCCCCTAACAGCACTCTACTTCAGTCGTCCAACAGAAGGATCGATGACATGAGCAAAAAAGTAAAAAGCTGGGTTGCTCATCAACAACTCGGAGCCGGCAACCCTAACCAAGCCGCCACGCGCCTTGCAAGCGTTACCAGTTACTATATGGACGAAGCTTTAGTCCACGGTAACTTTAAGTTATCTCACCCGTGGGCCGAACGGGTACGAGTATTTCTCTTCCATTCAATCTTTTTTTTACGTGCCCGGAAGTGTCATAAACATATGCCATCGAGATAATCGTGGGTATTGAGAAGGCTTCACGTCTTGCTCAGGATATGAGTAAATTTACCGGTATCAGATGAATCCCGGCAGGTGTTTCCCCTGACCCCATTTGGTGGACACCCGCAATGTGGAGGTTGTAGGAGCGGCGTATTAACTTGATAATAGAAATGAGCCGAGAGGAGGATGCCAACAGAAAGAGTATCCCCCGCACCCGTCCTTTATTTAAGATGCTGATGGCAATGGCAAAGGTAATATATATTATTATAGAATTAGTGAGTACGTCATTGTCTCAGATAGAACTCACAGGGTATATTATCACATACCGGTAAAGCATTTGTCGAAACGACTTTTATAGAGGAACGTTTTGTAACCGTGATATCCGGAGTCGTGAGAGCTCTGCAAGTTATGGAAAAATGAAACAAAGGCGTAGACTATCCACACCGACCAGCAGCGACCGAATAAATGAATAAAAACATCCATCAGCCAATCGGATTCCACTAAACATTGACTAGCGAGTAACCAGCGGAATTTTTGTCCGCACAGGTAAGGATGAAACGTCAAGAGCGAGTGATCGAGGGCATACATGATATTTAGCAGTGGGCAACTAAGCGTGAACACCTCCCCACTAATGTGTGCATATCGTGATGGGAAATAAAATGTTTATACAAACCCAGCACCTGGAAAGCTCCTCCGCCGGCTCTGCTTCGGATCTGCAGCTCTTCCTTGACACATGCTACGATACCCCTCGCATATCCCGAAGCGGTTGAATGCGGTATAGAAGAAAAAAACACCCCTTCATGCGAGAAACTTAGAGCGCAGTGTATATACCCAGCATGGCTCCCCTAGGCTCAACGTCCGTCACCAGGCCAAGATATCCCATTGCGCTGCTCCGTGGTCCCTTATGCCGTCCCCGCCGTACAGAGAACTCGAATAAAGATACATGAAAACTCACTCGTTACCTGCGTTAGCAATCCCCCCTAAAATGCCTGCCGATACCCACGCGAAACCGCAAGAGAATAAAGCATGCAAGGGTGGAAACGACGAGAAAAACAATTCCATAAATTTCATCACTAACTACCCGAGCAAAAGGGGAAGACCTCAATCTAGGCCAAATCCATGCTATTGGCTAGTCATCAATTCGTCGATATCCACATATCCATCCCAAGCCAATCCTTTATGGTATTTTTGAAGAAAAAACGGGACAAAAACGCGGGGAAAGAACGAAGGGCAAGGGGAAACGAAAACCACAATATATACTCCGCGAGCCTGCCAGAGAAAGGGAAATGAAGAGGGAATTACTAATTTCGAAAGGGGAAAAGTGAGGAAAAGAGGTGAAAAATGCCAGCCCGATGAGATGAGAAGAAAAGGAAAAAAAGGCAATGTGAGGAAAAAGGGAAAAAGCAACAAACTCCCCCACCGAGGCGACAAGCTAGAAGAGAAAAGAGAGAAGACATGAAAAGGAAATAAAACCCATATCTACAAGAAAAAAAAACCAGCCGGGTATGAAAGCATATAGATGGGGGTTTTTGTGGTGGCCGGAAAAGGAGGGAAAGGGGAAAAAAAATAAACCCGGAAGGCATAAAGACTAAAGTATAATATAAAAACGTATTCATTCATCCTTCCCAGCCGACTTCCGAGGTTTTGCCTTGACCTTCTTCTTCGGCCTCATTAGGCCCTTCTCGGGAGATCCAGATGTGAACTTGCGCTTCTTGTTCTTCCCTGGTGTGCCAAGTTCTCCACCAATACCGCCTTCTTCGTGGAGGTCATGGATTGGTGTCAGGGCCCTTTCACCATCGAGGTCCTCGGGATCCTCGCCTTCAGCAGCGAGTTTGAATTCATTGTCAACTGTAAGGAGGTCCACGAATTCTTTGCACTGCTTCATCATGCCCTCGTCAGACTTGAGGTCGGTCATGATTTCCTCAAACTTTTTCCAAAGAGTGGCGGCGCCATTGGACCAGGTGGCCGCTCTTGATGGCGCCTTGTTCACGTCTTTGGCGGAGAGTTTGTTGCTCTTGTAGTCGCGGCTCTTGTTGTCATTGATGCTATAAGACTTTCTCAAGAAATACCTGCATTCCCATAACATGTAGAGGATCGCCGCACTAGTCGCCAATACTTTCAGAGTATCTGGTTTGATAATTCGCTCTGTGGTGTCCCCAGAATCCAGTTTAAGAAGAAAGATATCTGTCTCGATTGAATGGGCCACAGTCATGCCGGTTCCAGAAACGACTCTTTCCATGGTGGTCACAACTTGGTATAGCTCATCAAAGGTCCCATACTCAAAGAAAGCAAGATTCTCGATCACAAATTTCGAGTAGCCCAGATGATTTGGTTTCGAGGAATCAACATCTAGTTTTGGGGACTCAAAGTCCACACTCATGGTCATGTTCCCTAGCAACTTCTTTCTCACCTTACGACTGCTCTTGACAATCTCATATAACGGATGCATCTTAGAGGTGAATGGGTTAGCCGTAGCACCTGACTCATTGCCGATAACATTGCGCTGGTAGATGTAACAAGCACGGACACCGTCCATGTACCCTCTTTCCACTATAGTCTCGTGTTTGGAGTGCAGCATACGATGCTCCCGATTGGAGATAGCCTGAATCGCGACGTTTGTAGAGGTTTCAAGGGCTACCAAGGCAGGAACGCACTAATCTGATGTTAGATCTTGGCCTTTTAAGGGGCAATGGAACGATGTACCTCCTTGGGGTGCACTAATCCCTGCCTCAATATGCTCCCGATGACCTCTGTAGCTGTAAGCGCGTAAATATCCTGGGTTGAGGTAGCCACCTGAATTATATTCTTGAGATATTTTTGGGCCAAACTGGTGCTGACTCCATCGTTTTGGTTGGCGTTGGCTGCGCGACTCAACCTCTCAACCTGGGGCTCGCCGTTCTTCTTTTCGTCCTTCTCTTCACCGGCAAACCCTTCACTCCGATTTTCTTCGCTTTGTAGAAATCTTCTAATACCTAGAAGCACAAGATTCACCAGTTCCTTTTTGCCTACTTCAAACACCTGATCAAACGATTTTAGTATTTCGGCGCGCAAGAACTGACTAGCGTGTGTTTGGCAAACATGACACAAACTCTCCAGGGCAGCTTTCCGGACAAGAGGGTGAGCCGCTGAATCGCAGAACGGTATTATCGTATCTGTGATTAGACCTGACACTGTTCCTGGCTTCCACTTGGGGAAGGCAGTCTGGAACATCCCAATCTTGTCCTCAAATTGACAGTGTTTCCCAAATAGGCCGAGGATATGTAAAGTCCGGACCAGACGGTTAGCTTCTACATCAGTTTCGACGGTCTTCCCCTTGGACTTGAGGATATTAGTCAGACAGGATATCGTGACTCGGACGAGCCTATCAGTGTTTTTCAGGATGCCGCTAATCGTCCAAAGGCAAGCGACAACCTCACGAAGTTCCTGACGCGCGGGAGTGTTAGCGATGGATTAAGAAATGGTTGGGGGGTTTTGCATACCAATGGCGGAAGTCGAGAGAGGTTTTTGAGCAAGCTCTGCTGGACAGCCGATAAGAACCCAGAGTGTAGACTAGACAGGACTGGCAACGCGCATCTGAATATAATAATGACTGATCTAAAGACGTGAAGGTCATCCTGGTCGGTTAGATTTTCAATATATGGCTGTAACATGATGAGTTGCTCTGGTTTGAAGAGCTTTGGGTTCGCTTTAGCAAACACAGTCAGCGCTTGGAGAGTGCTTTGTCTTTCTGCCTGTGAATAGTTAACATAAGAATGCACATGAAAGGACGGGTAGGTGACAAACCTTGTCCGAGTCTCCCTGACGATCTAGCAGATCATCGCACATGGAACCCACCATCGTCTTGCAGACTTTGAAATTGACCGAGCAGTTTTTTGTGTCGGCATGCAAGATCTGAGTTCCGATTTAGCATCCGAGTAAATGTGCTGATGATATTCCCCGAACTCACTGATTTGATAACGTCATGCAGCACGGCTTGCATTACTTCCTTCTGCACAACTTTGATGATCACAGCCACACGTTCGTTAACAACCAGCTTCAACTGAGGACTAATATCTGTAGTTTGGTTCTGCTGGTTCTCGGTATCTTCAGCTCCTATGTAAGTGTAGAAAGGAGTAATCCAGATCTCTTCGAAGGTCTTCCTTGCAAGCTCCTAGATTTTTCGTCAGAACACATAATATGTACCATTGCTTATCACATACCGAAACACTAGGGTCAGAATCCTTTATGCGCTGAACCAACGCCTCAGCGATTGCCACCTTGACAGCCTCTTTTTTGCTCCTTAGGTAGATGTCTTTCAAAATTTTCATGGATCGCTTTCGAACCCCTACCCCGGCATCGGCGGAACGTTCAATTATACTCTTGTACACTTGATCTTCCAGGTCTGTTCGAAACAGAATGCATTTGCCAATTAGATCCACTGCGGAATCCCGGACCAAGGGCGATGGATCTCTTAGCCGTTTGAGAATGAACGGCACCACCTGGGGCCGCTTCAGAATAGCGGGATCTTTTTGCAAGAGCTGCAGAATTGCTTTGAGACCTTTGCTTCTCGTAGTTGCCTGATTATCGTCTACAGAGCGGAGCAAACGGTTTAAAATGTGTTCAAATGACGTACAAAACGGCATTTGCAGAACAGTCAGAATGTAGGCTTGTCGTATCTGTGGCGAGGATATTTTTGCAACATCACTAGAGGGGTCAGCAGGTGATAATTACTACTGGGTAGGTGGGATTCGGCTTACAAGTCGTCATCAATCCAACTTTTATCAAGTATAATCCTTCTTAAATTTGAGGCGATCCTGGCCAATTCTCCCATTACTTCTTCCGTTTCTTCATCATCTTGGCCTTCTGCTTTATCGGAAAAGGCACAAATTCGAGCACTCCAAATCGTAAGGTAATAACCACAAGCACTCTGGAGGCTTGGGTCATGCGCGCTGTTCTCAATCAAGTGCTCAAGCGCATATCTAAATGGCCCTTCCCATTCGATCAAATCCTCTTCCATACCAATGCCTCCATTGGAGCCTGCTACAGTACTTTCTAAAACTTTGTCCGTTAGAGTATATATCCGGTCGTCAGCTGAACTATCCGACTCCCTGTTCTTATGACTCTCTCGTAGGTGCACAACAACATCACAAATTGCACTACCCATCAATCCAAGTAAATCCAAAGCCATTGACTTTGCTGGGGCTGGTTGTTTGTCGCCATCAACAATAGTACACATACTCCCGAGGATGGATCGGAGTAATAGCTCAGCACCCGGCCATTCAGGAGAGCCAAGTACGGCGATGAAATCCTCGGCAAAGATGTCCATCAGTACTCTGTAAGGTTGGTCTCCAGTTTTAGTCGACCTCATTGCTCGCTGTACCAAGAAATTGACCACGTATTGGGCATTTTTTTGAGCACTCTCCAGTAAAGGGTTAGACATGGTATACAGTTTGTTAACTGCACCTATAACGTCTATTTCACCCCGATCAGGCTCATCCCCCTCTTCCTTTTCCATGGAAAACTCGCCGTCTTCCCCGGTAACCAAACCCCGTTTCTTTTTACGCTCCTGGTAGGTCCCACTCGTCTGCACTAGCCTCATAATCAAAGCGCTGACTAGTTGTATGTTCTTTCCACCTTCGACGAGTTTGAATTGCCTTGCGCTCTGTCGGTTGACAGACAATTTTTCTAGACTTGTCAATATTTCATCAAAGATAAATGTCCTCTGGTCAGGATATCTAGCAAAAATCTTCGCAAGTATATCCATGGCGGCAACACGGAATCGCTCCACCTTCTGTACACCAAAAACAGAATCCTTCTCTGTTGACGCATTCTCGATGAATATTACTGCGACCGCAATAAACTCCAAGGTTGTGATTGTCCCCTCTGTGACCTCCTCTAAGGCCAATAGCTTAGAAATCAGCGAGAACAAACTTGTGACTTCATGTAAAAGCCCTCCCAACACCTTTTTGTGGGCGGATGCAATTTTGAAAGCAGCCTGAGATTCTCCAGTGGATCTCATCTCTATCATTGGATTGATTGTGCCTTCAATGAGGTTTTTTGCGACACTCAAAACGCTCGCCAGAAGGTCCTCCGGGTATAATTGCTTATCCTCCCTACCCCCAACCATGATCCTTAGAACCGTTTTAGCGGTTTTCAATCCATTATCCACTAGAGAGACCCTCGTCAACCATTCCTCGATAGCAGACTCGCTGTCGTCTGATCCCATCTTGACGTCCACAGTTTCAGCTTGCTTCAGAGAGCTCTCGCAGATCTTCTGTATCCTTGTAAGATCATCTACAGGTACCTGTTGGAATAGCCCGGTTGAAATAACTTTATGGATCGAATTTTCCAATTTCAACAGAACTGCAGTAGCCAAACATGGTGATTGTTGTTCCAAGGAGCTTGTCATCCAAATCTTCGCGTTTTTATCAGAGGTACGATCAGACGTATCTGGGGAGAGGTTATCCTCAGCTTCAAAAATCGAGGAAAGGAACCCTTGCAGGCCCTTAAATAGGCTTTCAGCCTTTGCTCTCTGATCTACACCAGGGCCAAGTGTCTCCCCATCCTCGGCATTGGAATGTGATCGCTTCCGCTTACGGCTCTTCGAAGTTGAACCTTGCCCAAATGGTTTAGTCCCGCGAAACCTTCGATCAATCTCAGTATGCTTTACATACTGAGACCGATCAAAAGTAGTTGGCGGTGGCGGTATTTTGACTGCGTCAGCTTTTTGAGAGCTGCCAAGTGGTGTTGATGACTGTACATGCTCTTGCTTGGGAGTTATAGTCAAGTCAGAAAATTGTGGGGCAGGTCGATAATATCCATTCATCTGTGGTGGTACAACTAGATGAGATCCAAGCGCCTGTGGAGAAGCGTTAGATATCGAGTTGCGTGCCACACTGCTGTTGTACTGGCTATAAGTAGGGGTCGTCGGGGGGTACCCAGGAGCTGGAGAGTACCCAGTTACCGGGGTATATGCGAGCGCTGGGGAAGGAGGAGGCGCAGACTTTCGAATAGGTGTGAACGTTAGAGGAGGCGAATTAGTACCTATTCATGTATTAGAACCCAAGACTGGAGTTAAATTGGAGAAAGGGACATATCCATTCTGAGAAGGATCGAATAGCTTCGTACATTTAAAGTTCACATTGCTCCTGTTCATTACCATCTCCCCGAACTTTCCAACCGCCCGATGTTTTAGTATGTTGCTTGCTACACTCTCTTTCGGGGTCGTGGGGTCCTCTGTTGTAACAAAAGACTTGAACCGGCTATTCACATGTGTACAGAATTAGCCACCATAAACTTACCGTCGAACCCCGTTTCCCATAGAGCACTCACAATTCCGTCCCGCCCGGCGCACTGATCGCCGCCGCCAGTTCATGGAGTGTTTTTCGTACAAACTTTGAATTTGGGTCTGCCGAGGCTTCCCTGTCCAAGGCATCGAGTGTCTGTCTAGACGACCGACGTTCCACCTCAGATTGAAAGATCGGACCAGTTCCGTTCGGCAAGAGAAGGGGCAATGGTATTATCTCTAGATTCAAATGTCTGTTAGCACCTTATACCCCCGGCAAACCCCCGTGAGAGGCAATGACCAGCCCCGGCTGTGAGCCAGGCAAGGCTCATTACCTGAAGTTGAAGGAACAACAGAAGATAATGGAGTGTATTGCAATGCATCGTCCACGTCCACAGGAGGGATTCGCCCCCGTCCAAATATGATCTCTCCATTTCTGTTCATGGTTGCGTATTACCCGCGAGGCAGCGCACGTAGCAGAAGGCGATGAAGGGAACGAAGAAGCGAGTCTCTGTTGAATGAGGCAGCTAAAGCCGCATCGTCCAGCGAACCGAAAATGTGAGATGGAGCTATAGATGAGCTGAAGGTTGGATTAAAACGGACGATTAGTAGAAACTAGGTGACTGGGAAAGGGATAGTACAAGTTAAAGAGGGGGAAGGATAAAGCAATCCAAGCGAATGAAGGAAAGTGAGGCGGGGTAAAGGAATAGGGAAGAATAAAGGGGTGAATAGACGAGGAGCGGTTGAAGGGTTTGGTGACGAAGTGGGCAGATTGGAGGGAGAGATCGAGTAAGAATGAAATGAGAGCCCGGGAGACGTGCAAAATCCCCAAAGTTCGTGAGCAGAGCAATGCAACAGGGTTGCCGTGTCGCTCTTTAAGTTACACGCGCCGCACTGGTCTCGGGCATGCAACAGTTGTCTTTAGCAGCCGCAAAGAGGGAAAGCTAATTACTCGCGAATTTCATAAGTATCCGGACACCCTTATTCTGAGGCCCACCAAAAGCGCAGATCCTTAGCGCCAAGATGTCCGGATATTTTGGGAATCGGCGAATTCCTATCCTTTACCAAGGAAGGAAACTCCTCCCCCTTGGCATCTATCCAATGGACAACCTGTCGCTCAAGGCTCAAGCTTTTGCAAAAACTTGAAGGAGACAAAGGATTAGTAATCCGTCCTCAAACCTTGGGAATTTTTGACCTGGCTCATAAAAGTATCATAAGTCGGGTTTGGAAAAACATTTACCCATCATAAATTATCATACAAGCTCCTAAAAACATGAAGCGCTCACCCTAGAGCCACATCCGTATGGCCATGGCTTCATCAGAATGCTTTTTGCGATATTATTATACCTGCGGCTCTTTTTGGTGCATGCAAGCTTCCAGTACTGTAAAAAAGAGTAGTGCTACGAGTAGAGAAACCACCTCGCAACCGGGAAGGTTTTTGAATGCCGGTATGATGCAGGAATGATACTGTAAAATCTCTTGAAATCCATAATATAGTCTAGTGTTGCAATCTCCAGATCCAGAGACCAAGGTCCCCGGAATGAATTATTCTCTCCCTAGCGCAAGATAAGATTAGCCAGAACTCCCAATTGTAACTTTTCATACTTGTACTAAGGATGCGTCTGGTTGCAACATGAAACCTCAATAATAATCCTGAATAGACTAGCGCTTTGAGGAAAAAGGTTGTTTCAATACCCTATTACAGCTTGATCTCAGACCATCTTAAGATTAGTCTATAAGACAAGGTACCGGTAATTTAAATCTGGACTCTGTTTGGCATGTACAGTACCAGTAAGAGTATATTGTGATATCTTACTAGCACGGCAGGGCAATATGCATAACTACGAGTCGCCTTCTGCCAGCACAAGTCCTTCTAGACGAAGTCGAGCACAGCGGAGTTGATATCCCTTGCCAGAATCAATCCAGAGAGCAAACTCGACGCAACATTAGCAGTATCATGAGTTGAGGCATTCGGGCTTGGTCTGCGGTAAGGTAGTCCCCGACTCGAGTTTCTGTAGGCTTTTCGGGGCTGTATGGAATGGGGTGAAAAATCGAGCAAAATTCACAAGCTATGATATCACACAGTAGAATTTCACAAGCCACAATCTATCCTCTAAGCCACAGCAGCATTCATCCAGTGATGGCGCAATAGTTTATCTACTGTACTATGATATATCCATTTCGCTTGCCCTGATCATGCTAGAAATGGCGTTCCTTGTAACAATGATACGCAAACCGTCAAATTCCCGAACTCTAGCAAAAACGAACCAACCACCCTATTCCTTAGCCTTCCCTTTCCCATTGATTCCCTTAAAAACCCTCTGCCACAACTCGCTCTCCTCCCCAAGAAAATACGTCAACTCAACGCTTTCCATACCGGCCTCTTCGTCACCGCCCAAGCTCTCCAACCTGCTGATTATGTTGCCCAACAAGATAGCTTTGCCAGTTGCCTGACCGATCCCGCTATCATGAGAGATGGAGATAGCATGCAGGTGGAAGTGATAGTATGAGGGTTGGTCTAGATCTCATTAGCAACTATCACCAAGATAAGCAAGGGGTCGGAGGATATACAGTGAACATAAAGCTTGATCTGATCTGGCTCAATGCCACTATACTTCTCGCAAATCACCTCAGGAATTCTCCTTCTCAGGTTCTTCAGCCACGGAACATGCATCTTCTTCAGGTCCCGGATTGAGGTGATGTCACGACGACGCACTATCGCCATAGTGTACATACTCGCCATGGTCTTCCGATCCCACTTCCTTTCCCCCCCGCCAAAAATTAGCTTTCCAAACAATCCTTAAGCACAGACGGGCAGAAGGTAGACAGACTAACAGATCCGGTAAGAGAATAAACCCCTCTACATCGTCCGTATCCTCAACAATAATGCTCTCTTTCTCAGCTTTATGCTCGAGGATGTTATGCACCCAATCTAACCTCCCACTACCGCGCTTCTCCTCAACATAGGGCTTGACTAGTTCCCTATAAATCTCGGGGGTCTCGACGACCATCCTCAACTGCTGATGCGTATATTTCTGGATATGAGTTTCGGTGGCGGGAAATATAAGGGTTAGCTTCACTTCTCCATACTCGGAATTCTGTGAGGCCATGAACGAGTGGTATATGTCATTTCGTGCTATTAAGGTGACTTTTGGGAGATGGAGGTCATGGGAGAATTTAGTAAGGTGAGCGCCAGTGACATTGAAGGCCGTTTTCTCAGCAATCAGGATTGCAGGAGTGGACTCGATTTCGCCCAGAAGGTTTACCGTTTTGGTTCCCGTGTCTGGTCGCGGGGTATGTTATTTTGTGTCATTTTTCTTTTTCTTTTTTGCTAGTGCTCAACTTGTGGGGTGGTTTGGTGGGGTGAGTGGAGGAGATACCTTGATTTAAGATTCTTGTAAAATTAAATCTCCGAAGCCTCGCTTCTTCTTCCGCGCTAACCGACATGGCTTTTTTGTTGGTAGGTACTCGTTTGCTTGATCGTTTATAGATATAGGTGGAGTCGGCTGTGGGTCTACATAGGGGAGCGAGGTGAGTGTCAAAACGTGTATGATGTGTATTATTATGTTAAGATACCGCTGTGGTGTTTAAGGCCACCAATAATCAGAGGGTTTGCGCAGTTTGAGGGGGAGTTATCAATAGCAGTGCCAGAGGTTGTCGCTCGTATGAAACCACCGACAACAGGCCTTTTAGACAATGTGTTTACGGTTGGGATCAAGTGACCGGGTTGCCAAGCCTTGTTCATTAACTTATGTTGTGATTACATCACCCATCATCGTGCGGTGCCCGTAAATGCACTGGTTCGTCTTTGCCAGGAATACCGCTGGAACCGAATTTCCGAGAGAGTGAGAATAAACCCCGAGTTTCTAGCGAAAATTTTGTATTATACCCGGCGGTATTCTTCGCAAAGACTGCCATGGAGATTTCCTGACAAACCCTCCAGCCTCTCTATTAGCCTCTATTAGCCGCATTCAAGCCCCGCCACCAGCCACCGTGAGCCAAGATACCGAGACCGGGTGCCTGTAGGGACCCTGCCGCATTTTCATTTTGTCCATCCAGATCAATCTACCCGTAAATTTCTTATTTCAACCTCACGCTAAAGCCTCCCAAACAATTTATTACCCCTCCACAGAGCAATACAGAAGGAGGATGATTGCAGCAAGGCAAATCTCTAGATGCGCTAATTGCCGTGTATCGATCCTTGGTTCGCTTATTTCGACATGCGCGACACGGGTACGGCTCCCTGTGCCGGTGGGGAGGGGTCGTTTACGGACTGAAATGTTTGGTGGGGGAAGAGCATTTCGAGTTTCAGTGGAAACCTCCGGACCCCCGGTGTCAACCACTCTAGCGCCCCCAGTGCCCCCGGAAACCTGCGACTCGAAGGAAGGATCATCGCCCTGGTATCTCCGTGTCAAGACCCCGATATTGAGATTTCACCCTCTGGCCGAGCGACAGGCGCTTCCGGCCCTTCCGGAGGATCCCCCTCCTGCTTTGCAGGCTGTGCTCGACCAATTGTCGGTAGAGGAGGGTATTGATTATTTGAAAGTCCTGGACCTCAGAGCTCTGGACCCCGCTCCAGCACTCGGCGAGAATATTGTCATGGTTATTGGCACCGCCCGCTCAGGACGGCAGTTACATATGTGCTCAGAAAGAATGTGCAAGTGGTTAAGGAAGGAGTTTAACATGAGGCCGTTCGCGGATGGGTTGGTTGGTCGGGGGGAATTAAAACTGCAACAAAAGAGGGCGAGAAGGCGGGGGAAACTGACCACTGCTGAATCGGGTATTGAAGAAGCTGCAGGATGGGTATGTATTACTACCGGTGGCCAAGGGCTCGTGATACAACTTTTCACGCAGGATAAGAGGGAAGAGATTGATTTAGAGTCATTGTGGGGTAAAGAGCTAGAGAGGGATGCTAAAAAAAAGGAGGCCGAGAAGAGGATTGTCGAAGGGAAGGAACAGGGGACGTTTGGGGCTTTTGGGAGAGGATTGTCTACGGGGTTTCCCATACCAGGGACTCCAAGGCTCCAAGCTAGATCTTTCCACTCGCCATCCCAAAAGCCATCGCAGGTGGTCACAGGGTTCTCAGCTGGGAACCTGGTCCGGTTTGCGGAAGAAGGCATTAGCGTCGACACACACGTCAAGAAAGGACATTACTGGAGGTTAGTCACTCGAGTCTCCGAAGCTTTTGACCCGGACGCAGATCTTAAGAATGCAGCATACCTCATGGAGGCCCACATAAACCACCTACGAAAAAAGTTCCGTGGGAACAATTACTCCGGAAAATTAACGAAGGGATGTAAACTCCTCGGCCAAGGCATAGAAGATCGAACATCAACTGAATTCCTACAATCCTACTTCAGATACCTCCCCAAGCACCCGGCCCCCACGCACCTCCGCCTCCATCTCGAATTTCTCATCGAAACCAATCGAATAAGCCCTGAAAAGTACCCTCTCTCTAAGGTCACAACCTTCCTAAAAGCCTTCCCGGCGCCTATCCCAGCGGAGCTCTACTACCTCTGCATGCGTGCAATTGCCGACTCACCAGAGCATCGCTCTTACAAACTCCCAGCCTCAGAAGCTGCAACGCTACGTCTATCCCTAATCCAGGACCTAGCAGAGCACTTTGATCCAACCTCAACACTATCGCGTAATATCCCGGAATTCCAATTCTGTAGATTTCGTGCACTCGCCCCCGACAACGCCATCGCGCTGATACTCCTTGCCGCGAAGACTGTCTGTTCGACGAAGCGTGCAGAAGCGGGTAAAGAAGCCGACGGCGCCATCAAAAAATTCAACATCCGCGTCGGCACCTACGCCCTCGACCCACGACTAGTAAGAGTCGAGCGCGAGAGCATCGAGCAGATGTGCCACTCCTACGCCATCCGCGATTATTACGAGCAAGCCATGGCTGCGTACGTCGCCGCGGACCACTGGACTGCTCTGTGGAATCGTTGGAAGAGCTTGAAGTACATGTCTATCAGACGGGATCAGGCTTTCTACGAGCTGCTCATCGGGCTGGTGGTCTTGGGCGCGAAGCAGAAGGAGGGGGTGTATGCTGCTAGGCATATCTGGAATGATATGGGGAGAGAGACGCCTAAGGTTTTGATGACTGCTGGGATTGCGAAGGGACTTTTGGCGGTCATTCGGCTTGCCGAGAGAGATTCTAGTGCTAGTGGGGAGTTTGCGGAGTTGAAGGCGAGGTGTGATGGGTATTTGGAGCGGTGGCATAAGTGGCGGGTGGAGAACGGGTTGGTAGAGGAGGAGGATGCAGCTGCTACTATTGCGAAAGAGGGAAAGTCTAGGGAGGAGAATGGGGGTGTGATTGCATAACAGGGGAGTTTTTGAGATTTTTTTGAGATTTTATGCCCTGGCTGGTTAGAAGAGATTCTTCACAGTTGAACCAGTTTTTCCTTTTTTCCTTGTTCCTAAATATGTGGTCATGCAGTCGGAGACCTACTGTATTTGTAGATACAAGATTTTTAGTATCATATGATACCTGATGCACTCACAAGTAATGTTGGTAGCATCTACCATGGTTTGTTCAACTTTGAAGAGTAGCAAATCAAAACACTAGGCTAGAAGTTTTGGCGCGGCTGCTGCGCATGATAACTGACTACATTCCCACCATCCTTGCATATTGCCATTTCACCATATCAAGTTATACTAACAGACACTTATCAGACTTTGAGGAATAGCAAGTAATTACACTTAAAAAAGGAAAAAATTGCCCCGTTCCCAGACCGAGAGATAATTAAATCGCTCTTCCATGATTACCAAAAATCTTTACTTGCGATATTAAGGAGGAGCACGGTACAGGAAAAAGAGAGAGATAAAAATAAGAAACCCTCCCACTCTGGGTAAGCCCAAATTTTTTGACAACCGCATTTAGCACCACCTTGCGAGAGAGTCCAAGAATGCATATGACACCACCGGACCTTGACAGGGTCGTGTAGTGAGTGATATTGTCCTCCAAGTCTCGGTCTGGGCGGCTAACAATACTTTATCCTCCACTTCGGTAAATATCCGGGTCAAAAAGGGGAGAGAAAAGAAGAGCGCCATTACCGGACCATTATGACTTCCCGGGATCTTTGGAACTCCCGATTTCCGGAATGGGGGGGGGGGGGGTTATCAGGGTATATTGGAGACTCAAGTGAGCATCAACCAATGATAGTCCAGATCTTATATGACAGGCGCAGAGTGTGAGGCGCACATGCTGTCATTAGAGTAATTCAAGAAGGCCAATTCAGCAGGAGTAAACCAAACTGTACAAACATGCCTCCGCTAATCAGCTTAGCACCCGCAACCCAAGCCACAGAAAAACCCAGAATAATAGCTTCTCCTTAAAGCCCTTAGCATATCCTCCTTAATCCAATTACGACACTACTCCACCCTTCCCAGAGCTAACATAGTATGATATCTAAAAGATAATCCAACCAACATTATGATGGGTATCCCTCCTCCGCTTGGGGTTCCATGAAAATCCTAGCCAGCGCAGCAGTTAACACATCGGCTCAAATTGGAAGAACAGAAGGAGAAACTTAAGTAACAGGACACACGAGCAAGCACAAGAGAGTATCTCAATAGAGGAACGATGACATTTTGTGTTGGGCATGCGATCGCTATTTCTAACAGCTGGTTTAAGTGCCGATCCATCATAGTCCATAGATTCCATCACCATCCTAGGACTGTCCTATGAGGTTAATAGTGGTTAAGGAATACCCAAGTCAACACTGACGCAAGCACGGATGTCCAAAATAGATACTGCATCAGAGAGGCCACTCGAATCCCGGCAATTCTCTGAGCCCTCTACTCCCTCCATTGTTAACAACCAGGCTTTCTCTCGAAAAACACAAAACCTAATACCCGCATACTAGAGACCGGGGAAAGAATACAAACACTCCAATTGAACTGAAGTGTTGATGAAATATCTGGGGGTAGGAGTGGTTAGCTCTCTTGATCAGTATCCCCCAAGGTCATAGCGACCGGCGATGGGCTCGCCCTGCCGAAAACTAAGGACCGCCATCGCATCTTTCCCACGGCGGTGCGGGCTACGGGCTTTCCTGGATCTATCATAATATTATGATAATAATTATTATCATACTTCGCAAGACAGTTCAGGGAGCACGGGGGCATCAGACCCCGCCAAGCCATCACGCCCTCTCACTCGAAAACTCTGTCAGAAGTCTCGTACGTAACTTAACTTACTCCTCACCCTGCCATGTACCATAACTTATCCCCAAAACCATGGCAACAAGCGCCAATCCCAGTCATAACTAACAGGACGCACAAGACAGCACGACAAGAAAACATCATCACACTCCTCTTCGCCGACCGCCCTGACCTCCCCCCCTCCCTCCACCCGCTTCTCTTCCCCTAAATTTTATCAACCCGCATAGCCGAATTATTTTCTTTTAAAAATAGGATGCCTAAAGACCCAACGACTGGAAAGCGCCGCGAGGCAACACTCGTGGAGCGCGTCAAAGTAATCGAAAAACACGCTGCAGGGAAGTCCTACCGTACCATCGGCGAGGAAATCGGTATATCCAAGAGCGAGGCTCAGAGGATTATTCAGCGTTGGAAGGACTTTGAGGAACTCAAGCCCCGGCCGAGAACTGGGCGGCCGTCAAAGTACCCACCTGGGGAGACGAGGCAAGAAAGGAGGAGGAAACATCGGATGTAAGTTTTGATTTTGTTCATTTCTTCTGTTCCTGATGAGAGGGGGTGGGATGGAGCGGGGAGGGGGGAGGGGGAGGAGGGGGGAGGAGGAGAGAGGAGGCTAACAATGTGTCAGTGCGCAGAAGCTCGCGGATGCGGAGAAGGCGAAGGCTGGTACAAGTACAAGTGGGGAGGTGGGAGGTTCCGCTGTTGGTTGGAACAGCGTGCAAGTGCCAATAGTGAGTCTGACGGTACCGGTAGATGGTCGGGATCCGTGCGATGGCGTACCCGGTAGTGCGGTTGAACCCGGTAGTGCGGTTGAGCACGGTGGTGCGGTTGAGTACGGTGGTGCGGTTGAGCCCGGCGAGGGAACGCGGGAGGACGAGAGCTTGAACGAGGGCGAAGGCAGTGGCGGTGAAGGCAACAATGAAATGGAGGACGGAGCTACGAACCCACTGGCCGAAAGCGAAGAGACTACCAACCAGAACTCACCGACGGAATTAGCTCAATAGACACCCCGTCTGCCTCCTTGGATACCATTCTGGTAGTTGAAAAATAAATAAAAAATACCTCTGTCTAAGCTAAGGACTAGGAGAACGAGGGGGATTGTAGGGTGATGGAGGGTACGGAACGGAACGGCTATGCATAGCATACCGTAGGTGGAAAAGAAGGAGGAGAGCCAGCTCGCCTCGGTATGATCGGTAATTAGCAGGTTGTGAGGGAGAAAAAACGGCCTTGACGACTGTTATTTTAAAACACAAAAACCATGGTGGACTATATACGTCTAGAGATCGTTTTCGGTATCACATTCGTTTCCACCCTACCGGTTCGACCCTTGCAAGGGCAATCGGGGTTGTCGGCACAATATTGCCAGAACGATTGCTTTTCTTTTTCCTTTCCTTTTCTTTTGCTCTTGTATGGGTTAAGAGGACCTTGGTTTTCTCTCACTTCTCAGCGTTCTCTGTCGTAGAATGTCGAGGATTTGGGTTAAATTTTGTCGCAGGGAGGAAATATTCTGCAGAGTTGAAGATACTCGTACAATGAGTGGACCCCCGCAATTTCCTTTCTTGTAACGAGTCTTTCTTTGATCAAGGAGAGTTTACAATAAGCCGGAGTTGGCGATTCGGGAGCGAGGTCACAATTTCTTTTTTTTTTCATTTCATCGAGGCTTTTCTTTCTTGTGATGTATTGTACAGTACTCGTACAGTACTGTGGACGCACAGTATCATGATTCAGGGGGCAAGGAAGAGTATGGCGAAGTCTTGGCTGCCAAACACGGAGGTATTCTCTCAGCCACATTCGCCATACTTTTATCTACCCCGAAGGACGGTGCGAAGATTTCTTGCAGTATCGGGAGTCTATGGTAACTGCAAATGCTACTGGGCAATATTTGCTAATTTCATGATGGAAGATTGATGTGTCGTATGGGTAGTTGCTGCAGTATGGTGGTGCTAGCAGGACTGGTGAATCTATACTGTAATAGCACACTGCCTTCCTCCCACTTTTTCTGATAGTTTGATTAATTCTTGAAATTCTTTATTTTGGTTTCGTGAATTCGCGGCAGCTCACGAGGGGGGATAAATCGTCACTCCCGTGCCTTGTTTCGCCACCTCAACACAGATCTGATTGGAGTCAGGAGGTGATCCAGACCTGAACAGAGAGACTGGAGACTACCCGGAGACCAACACCAGCTGGCTCATAGACAGGAATCCCAAGGCATATAGCATAGTATAGTGTGTACCGGTATGTATCATCCCCAAGACATTGATTGCTACATAGAAAATTACAAAATCACACCAAGGCGGGATCCAAGCCCTTTTGTTTTACCTTTATCTCAAACTTTTTTTTTCCGGGATAGAAGTCCTGACTGACTTGCGTCTATATGTATTTTGATTGCTTTCCCTTGATACCGTGCCCTGCTCTGCGGCCAACTTTCCCCTGTGGTTTTCTTTTATCAAACCGGTATCATACTAGCTGCTCTGATAAAGCACCGGTAGCACAAGTCCCCTCTTGTTTCACGACAAGCGATTAAAAGGGAGACTTGTGCGGTACGGGTGTCTGGAGATCTCCCCCAACTTATTCTCATGGCCATCATTCGAGCAGTCCGACTTGAGTGAAGTAGATATTATGATGTGTATGTATCCCTTTCAGGCATATATATCTGGGTGCCTAAGGAGGGTAAAATGAGTTCTGGCCAGCTACTCGTGGGGTCATTCCCTGAACGAAGGAGTGGTATCATAAGTATTATTTTCCTGGGGTACCGGTGTAGTGCCTGGAACTTTACACCTCTTCATTGAATAAGTGCGTGTCTTTCCGTCGATTCACTCGAATACTTTATAACTTATGTTGCCGCGCATGGGCAGCTAAAGCAACCGAAACTTCCATATCCGATACCGGAAACAATATCTCATATGGTGCGGTGCTCGTATTATTAGAGATGCCGGGGGGGAGGTCACTTTCTGGGGTGAAACCTTTTGTTTCACTCTTTCTTTGTCTAGTCCTTAGCGGTGGCTGGCTCTACAACGATCACCCGCATTATCACTAGTGACCTTGCGGCCGCACACAACGTCCGAGCTACACCGCAGGACTACTGGCTTTCCCTCCCCTCCCATTTGAGGGAAGAAACTGCTGCGCCGAGAGATATCATCAAGAATATCACTGATCGTCGAACAGGATTTGTTCCGTGTTGGGGGGGGGGGTAACTAGGAAACAGCAACCTTATCCGCAATAGCCTAGGGGGTATTCTGCCTACAAATCCTCTTGATGATGAGGAAAGCTGTTGCAATTGTGTCGCATCACTTCCTTCCACCCCTTTGTACATATACTTTACATGTTGAACTATATGGCTCAGGCAAGATAAATGTTTGGAGGTGGGCATCCGATACTCGGGTTTTTGCTGGTACAGGCTCATAATATTGTTTCAATACCAGCTTATCATACTGTCAGCACTCTATTCTTAAGTGTAGAGAGGTTAGGGAAAAGGGAACACCAAAGCAGGGCAACACGGTACGCTACTTGAGGCAATGTGTTTGAAAGATTTGTATCTAGTATCGCTGACGTTCACAGTTAAGGATTGTTAGATACGTGGGTGATGGTAAATACTAGACAAAAGAAATCTTAAAAGGAGAACCTTCATTCTCGTAAGAGCGATCCCCATTGAGATTTTTAACGATCTCACGTAAGATACTGCTTATCTGATGAATCGATTCAAGTAATTCTTGCTTCACCTGATCCTGCGCCTGCTCCCCCTGGAAAAAACTTGTGATGTCTGACCATAAAGTCGGGGGGGGGGGGGATACCTTGAACAGGATTATCATAAGTCGGGAGTATAGTAGTACTTCTATGTTATACACTTATAAATGTGCAATGCGTGTCCAAATCCTGTCTTGCTCTAGGCTATACCCGCCTTTTGTCATTCGGATTCTCCTGTGCATTTAGCAGGAACCGGGAACCCAGGAGTTCAATTTCCACTCACAAAATTTAATGATTTATTATTGAACAAGCCATCATGCAGGGCAGGGGAATTAACAAACCCTACCCTGTGGGTAATGGGAGACTGAAGACCTTTGGCCATCCTCGATAAGGCTCTAGGGAAAACCAGAATTGCTATGGAATGGTAGAATCCGACTCTAGATCGTATCATACCCCCGGGGGCGAGAGGTCGGCGATCGGTAGGGTAGGAGAAGGAAAAGACAAGTTGGTGGCGAGAGTTTTTTCTTTCTTTCTTTCCCTGAACCTCTGATCCGTAATGGCAGCTATTATATCCCAATGCTACCACATTTGCACTGTCAGAGTGAAGCTGGGCACTCCGCCTGGAGATTGTCACCTTACGCGATGAGCTCCAACTCAGCCACATGAATAGATATTCTCTGGTGCAAACGCACAGAGTGTTGGCGCCTCGCGATCTCGGGGGAGTGGTAAATTATTTGCTCAATTCACAGCCATCTTTAGCCGGAGAACGTCCAGCCCCCAGCACTGGGAGATCCTACGGGGGGCTAGGCTCCGTGTTCTCAACTGTCCGGGTGTCAGAGGTAGGAACGGTATTAGAACCTTATCATACATTTCGTTCTCATTTTAGTTAGAATGTAAATCAAGCGTTGCCTCTCTCGAGTACTGTACACTTCCGTGCAACCTTGCGTAATCCTGAATCCCAATAATCTTTATCAAAATCTTCTGCATTGTTCACACACTTGCCCACCTTAGCTAACAATGGAGGCAGGTGCCTCTTATGTAAAAAGCATTACGCAATCACCTGGATCCTTCTACTGATCGCCACACACATCCGCTTTCTTCAATGCATATCCCATTCATTCCATTTTACACGCCCATGGTAACGAAAGAAAGAGGGGTCTGAAGAACTTGTTCTGTAGATCGTGAAAACGAGAGAAAATCTCCTACCGCATTCTCGCAACTTCTACGGTTGGCGACAACTCGGTACCTTCCTCCATCAATTCCAATATCTCACATGGCGGCGCACTTCTGCTTGTATCATAGGCCGGCTTAACTGGGGTTCACTACCTCTTCCTCCTCTCAATATTTGCAGTGCTCAGGATATGATTGCTATGGAGATAGCTACCGTATGCCAGCAAATGAAAACCGAAAAATTATTCCTAAATCTAAGGCCTAAGTACAAATTTCGGCGCTGAGACTGCGGCCCCAACTCATTCGTCCGTATAGCAAGCCCAGTTTTTGGAATAGATATAATATTATTATTATTATATAGGTGAGGCCATAATCACGAAACATCACTCATGCCCCCCCCCCCTTCTTTCTCCACTGGCCTAAATCTTCCCCTTCCTTCCTCACTAACTTACCACTTGTAGTCTTACCACTTACTTCTATTGCTCTTCACGGTCCCTACATGGTATGACATCATACCTTGCGAAGTGCGCTGGCCATTGGGAGCACTGTCGGATGCATTCTCCGACCTTTCCGGCCGGGCTGGTAATACCTACAGGCCTCCCTTTTTCTCATCTTGTTTAGCATTCGCCCTTTCTTCCATGCGTACTTGTTCCTGGGCGGTTAAGGCCAGGGTGGAAGGAAGAGAGAAGCAGAGTATTAGATCTGTCGTCAGATGAGCAGATCATAGAATTAAATATACTAGTTGGAGAAAGAAGTGGAGAAGATAGGTTAGCGTGCTCGGGGGCTCACGCTGGGCACCGGCAGCAAATACACCTTCACGAAACGAATTTATAAATATTTGTCACTGTCCACCACCGGAAGAACCCCCCCCTCCCCCATCCTTACGAGTACAGTACATGTAGCGACTATTGGAACAGCAAACCCAGAAATATGTAGTAAAAACGCTTGGCTGGTTGGTTGGTCTGGTTTCCCCCGGTTGTATTATATATATCATCCGTAAAAAAGTTTTGTTCGCAGATTGTCTTGCATTTCGGATGGCGGTCCAAGAACCCCTCCTCCACGCTACAGAGCGAATCAGGCAGGCACCAAAATATCTCCCATTGGACACAAGCCCATCCTGCAACCCGGTCCTCTGGCTCTTGAGTCTCTCTTCGCGGGTGGTGCACGTGCTGAGGAGGGCCGAGCTCTAGGTATCTTGCAAAGCTTGATCGGTTCTTGAAAGCTTAAACCACTATGCCAGCTAGGAATTTCACACAATATTACTATGGGAACGCAAATACTCATCCTGCTGACAGGTGGATTTGGATCTTTTGGTCTGGGTTTAAGCACGACGGCTTACGTTTTTGTTCGCTGGTTATATTATATGAGCAGATACGTTCTCGAGAGAAGAGAAGTTATAGATACGGATCGCTGGCTCGTAGTAAGTTAGTAGGATCCCTGTGTGCTTTGGGGAACGACCCACAGTGGGGATATCAGTGATGAAGAAAGGTGAATTTGGCCGAGAGTAGGACAGGATTTGGGTGGTATCCGCACGTTGGTAAGTGTATAAGATAGGATAGTTACAATGCTCCTGACTTATAGTATCAGAACTCCGTTCGGGGGATTATGCCCGCTTTAAAGTCGGGCGTCACGAGTCATACAACCACCAGCAGACTACTCACCACTAGCAGACTATTCTAGCTTGCCAAAACCACGAATCAAACTTCATGCACAGTACTCTAATTCCGTCACTCCAAAATACCCACTCGCTTCTTTAGGACATGCACAAATTGTTATTTTGATATCACACCTCACGTTATTCACTAAAGATTGTAAGCTCCCTTCACTTTAATCCGTAGCAAAAGCGCGAGAAAGAAGGGTGGTAATGAGCCAAAAACAAAAACAATAATCTACCCGAAACTATAATAATTATTACAGCACAAAAGATGCGAGAGAAAAGATACAAAAAAGAGAAAAAAGAAACCAAAACTACAAGTTCAACCCACCTATGCCCCCCCCCCCGCATGCTCCATCAATGATATATCGTAATAAATTCATTTCCACCCTAACGCTTTTTTAATTTTTGCTTTGCAACGTCTACTCTTCATCTTCAGCATCTTCCTCCGCAACCTATTTGTTTGTGAGCGCTAGGTTTTGAAACGTAGGAAAAAGGTGGGGGGGTAACACATACATCATCGTGGAAAGTCTTCCCCTCAGTGGTTGGCTTGATCATGCCAATCCTAATGCAAAAGTCTCCAAACCGTTCCCCATCCTGGCGTTCGAGGGCATACCTCTTGAACAATGGTTTCAAGATCTCAAGGATTTCTTCCTCCTTGATGGAGCTACGGTATAGCTTGTTCAGACGTTGTCCATGGTATCCACCACCGAGGTACATATTATACGCGCCATAGGCTTTTCCAACGAACGCTACCTCTGCTAACCATGGGCGCGCGCATCCATTCGGGCATCCAGTCATGCGCATTACGATGCTATCATGATGCAAACCACTTTCTTCCAAGATGCCTTCGAGTTTGGAGATCAAGACAGGTAAATATCGTTCTGACTCTGCCATCGCAAGACCACAAGTCGGGAACGCGACGCACGCGCTTGAGGATAGGCGGAGTCCGGAGAATTGGATGTTGTCGAGCTTGTGCTTTGCCATGAGATCCCTCATGTTCTCGAGATCGGCGTCTTCAACGCCGCTGAGGATTAGGTGCTGATTACCGGTGAGGCGGAACTCGCCCTTGTGCACCTTTGCGATCTCGCGGAGTCCAGTTTTCATTGGGAACTCGGGGGTGTCCTCGATACGACCATTTTCAATGAAGAAGGTGAAGTGGTTCCTACCGTTTTCGTCCTTTTGCCAACCAAAGGTGTCAATGTTGCTGTCGAACTTGAATGGACGAGATTTTTCCAGTTTCCAGGTTAGGAGATCCTCGACTTTGCTCTTGAATACTTCGACACCCATGTCGTCGATGGTGTACTTTAGCCTGGCGTGCTTGCGGTTTTTACGGTCTCCGTTGTCGCGCTGGACGAGCATAATCTTCTCGCAGACAAAACGGATTTTGTCGAGTGGTGCGTATCCGAGCATACTTCCAGTTCGGGGGTATGTCTTCTTGTTATTATGTGTAACACCCATACCACCTCCAGCTAGAACGTTGAACCCGGAGAGCTTTCCATCTTCACCCTTAATAGCAATCAACCCAATATCGTGAGCATAGACGTCAGTATCGTTATGAGGAGGGATGGCGATAGTGATTTTGAACTTTCTAGGAAGATAGGTGGGCCCATACAACGGCTCGTGGTCAACAACAGCATCGCCAGCAACTTGAACCTTCTTGTCATCGTCATCTGTTAACCAGATTTCGTGATAGGCCGTAGTGGATGGGAGAAGGTGGTTGCTGATGAGGATTGCCGCCTCGTGGGCCTGTGCATGGAACGCAGAGTGTTGGGGCAGACTGCTGCACATGACGTTTCGGTTTACATCTCCGCAAGCCGCAATAGTAGTCATGAGCGCCTTGTTAATGGCTTGCATGGTAGATTTTAACTTCCGTTTGATGACACCGTGGAACTTTTTACCGTTAGTATTCATGAATCGTAACAATGAGTGATGTGTGGGAAGCATACCTGGAAGGTTTGTCGGGTGGTCAACTTCATGGTCCGGTTTCCGAATTCATTGCTGATATCGTCCATTTTTATCCATTGCTCCGGAGTAGCAACACCAGAAGCCAATCGGCATCTGATCATGAAGGAGTATGAGGGCTCAAGTCCTTGGGCCTTGCGCTCGTCTCTTAGATCTCTGTCATCTTGCATGTAGGTTCCGTGGAATTTGGTGAGTTGCTGGTCACTAGCAGATATCGCACCAGTGCTCTCATCCTTTAATCCCTCGGCAATAGTACCACGAAGGAAGTTGGAGGCGATCTTTATATCCTCGTTAGTAATTGGAGGAGGTTCATCGGGAAGCCCGTCAACATTATCCACACCAAGGGCTTTCCATAACTTGGGCTCCCACTCCGAATAGGCTGTCTGGTAGCCGTCTGGATCTTGATCGTCTCCGAGGCCCGTGTTTGCCAGCTTCTTTCCGCCCAGGTCGGCAAGTCTTTTGTCAAGATCCTTCCCAGGCTTGTTGTAGTAGTGCTTGTCCTCCTTGCGAGGCCAGTAGTGACTGTCGCCGAGAGCAAAAACGGTATAATTGACGGTTGCTAAATCTAAATCGGTCGAATTCTTGACTGTCTCCCAGAAGTTTCGTCCGTTCTGGGGGAATTCTCCTTGGCCCGCAGTGGATGTAATGAGAACGAGATTTTCCTCCGTCGACAGATCTTCGATTGGGTAATCCTCCATCGCCAAAACCAAAGTCTTTAATCCCCGAGCCTTTCCCCGCCTCCCGAGCCTTTGAGCAAGGCCCTCGGCATTTCCACCATCGGATGCGAAAAGAATTGTCAATGGGGGCCCAGAAAGTCCCTCCAAGAGCTTGTTAAACGCATCCTTCGCCTTTCGTTTCTGTTGTTGTCGGACCTCGGTACCGTAAGAACCAGAAAGATTCGCCGCAAACTGGGGATTTCTCTTAACCAGCTGAGAGAGGTGGTTCTCTCTCTTAAGGAACTCCTGCAACTCTTGCTTCAACCTCTCAGAATCAAGGCTAAAGTTCTTCTCGCCCTCCTCCTCTCCTCTGGGGTTCCAGCGATACAACGGCCAGTATCCGATATCAACAGCCTTTTTAGTCTCTTGCAGAACAGTGAGAGGTGAATCATCCTCTTTGTTGTATGGGAGGTATGCAACCACAACGGATGGTCCGTCAAACTTATCCGCCTCAAGCATGGCGTGTAGCACTTGCGTGTAGGAGCTGTAAACGGCGACCGAAGCAACAAACGCATTCCCAAAGTTCATGGCATAAAGCCCGACATCTTTCTTTCTTCGTGAAGCATTGGCCACAGCGTGCTCTGAGTATGGCTGGGAATCAATAACAAGCATGTTGATATTCTTTCCCGAAGCGATAACGTGGTGAACGCCCGAGTTTCCAAGATCATATGACCAAGCATCAGATCCAATAAGCCAATGTGACTCCTTGTAGAAAAGGGCCTTGTCAGAGAGCAAATCGTACGCGGCGGGGGATCCATCGACCGACAATCGCATGATAATCCCAGGCACTAGTGCGGCACTTTTTGCCTCGTCGTCTGCAACGATAAGCCATCTGGAGAGCCACTCGGCAGGGATGCGAGTAGTGAAGTCATTTGATTTCGCCAGTTTCTCAACCTTCTCGATAAAAGCCTGGCGCCTCTCCATCCGTGCTAGCAGGGAGCCATACCCATATTCAGGGCTTGCAGTAATGGTGGGGGAGATGCCGGCATTGGATTTATCGAGGGAATTGGCGATATGCAATCGCTTTCCGAACAATTGGTCGAGAATCTTCATATACGCTGCCTCAACAGCCGGTTGGCTGATCTTGTGCCCAGCATTAGTCGGAACGTCTTCCAACCCAACAGAGAGGTTCTGCACAGGCGACCTAAACTTCAAATTCTGGACAACTCCACGCATAGCCTGCCTTGGAGTATCGGGAGTGATGAACCCCAGTTGTCGTCCAATGACGACTGGTGCACCTTTGACGGCTGCGCCAGTGCGTAGACAAGTGAGTAGGTCCAAGAACAAAGGGCCCCACTTGGTAGTCTTGTTCATTATCTGTTCGAGAACGGCAATCTTACTGATGCTATTGGGAACGATCTCGGCCAATTTTGCACCAAACCAAGGGCGCTAGAGTCTAGCGGTAATCACACCAACTCTCGAGTAATCATCTCCCGCAGTCCTCGTGATTGTAGAGCGGAATAAACCAGTTGTAGACCCGAAGACGAAGAGTGCGACATCGGCATTGCGAGGTCCGGTGTACTCGAAAACACTGTAAGAACGGCCGGTGACCTGCTTGATGACCTCGAAGATGGTAGAAGAGTGCTTGTAGATGTCGTCGGAGGAGATTGGGCGGCTCTCAATTGCGTCGTGCAAAGAGCTGATAGAGGTGAGTGATGGACGGGTACTGTTCTCATCCGCTGTGCTGGTGCCATTGCTAGAGGGTTCAATTCCTGATGCTTCACTTGCGGGAGTAACAAGTCCACTTGTGTGACCGTTCGTTCCCACCGCAACCGATGCAGCCGAGTTGCTGGTCTGTGCTACTACACCGTCATCCGCATAGAGGCTTGTTGAGGCAATCTTGCCAGATTGATACGTTCTCGCAGCAGCCCGATCAAGCGCCCGACCTAAGAGCAGGGCATCCTCATTTGAAATCTCCGAATCATCGGATGAAGAAGCAAAGAAGTGCACGACGGCTTTCCCAGTCTTGACAGCTAACCCGTGGGCTGCGATGGTCATATCCTGCGCTTCCTGTGTAGACTCAGACTGTAGCAGGATTAGACCGGTTTGTCGGATAGAGGTGATCTCTGAGTAATCTGGGAACTCTGATGGCTGCAGCGAGACATGAATTACGACGGGATAATTGATTATCTTGTATAGGTGGGGTATCGAAGGGAGCAAGATGCTCGAAGTCGCTGTCACAGATACGAGCTTTCCCGAACGCATCGGTTGGAAAGCTGAGAGTAATGGGTCGGCATTTTGACGAACGGTTTGAATCTGACCAGAAATGAATCATTATTTGCGACGCTACCCAGGCTACGCGCAGACATACCTCAGGGACACCATTTGACGCGGTGAGGACGCCTTTAACTCCACTCGACAACAATTCCTCCAACTTCGCACTGAACGCTGAGGCATTGCTTAGAGAAGGCTGTACGGAAATAACCACATCGCTGGATAAGTATGCGATTCTCGCAACTGCTGCCCCCGTTAATAGACATGTTTCAAAAAGACTGTCAAGGGACACAATTAGAAGGGGGGTTAAGTACCGGCTTCCTCAGGAGTCTTGACAGAACCGACCACCATTCTTGCTGCTCGACAGCGAAGGCTGAAGTATCCAACAGGAGTGAGCGGCAGAAAAGGGGTTGATCCTCAGAAATTTTTTAAATAATCTCTTCCTTTTCCACCGATTCCTCCAAGAATCTTTATTTTCGTGCCACCTTGAAATCGGGTTGTAAATGATTTATTTGGTGGTCTTATGATTGGAGGGGAGGGTGTGCCAAGCTATGGCGTGATGGGAACAAATTTGCTAGCAACCCCACCACCGAAGGTTATCCGAAATATCCCCACCCCGTTTACGTACAGTACAAGCTTTTAGGGATGGGTCAGCGTTTTTTCAACACAAGTACCCACAAGGGGGTTAATGAACGGTTAACCTGCAAAATAATACCTGCCTTGTACGAAAACGTTCTCCCCGAGTACTTATACCACGCCCTCGGCAACCTCTCGGATACCATCATCGGCAGGGAGATATATACTCGAGTACTTTACAGTACCATGGAAACAGTGAAACCTTTGCGGGGAATCACTTCGCCTTTGGCCATCATGAAATGGTGAAGAAGGGTTCAAAAAGTTAATTGGAGAAGGGAAGGCAAATATAATGAACTGGCAGATTTTTTATAGTATGATAAGAAAAAGATTTCCATGTATGGTATTGGTCTACCCTCACTTGAAGGTGATGTGTTCTGGGTGGTCAGTTGCACCAAGGATTCCAAGTAAATCACGAAAACCTTCACCCTATCTCTCAGTCCATCTTCGAATATGGAGGTAAAAGGGTTAGAAAAGTATGATATCTAGAGGCTTTAAATATATTTTGGCTATTTGAGAAATAAGAACTGCTGACAGTCTGTGAGTGTTTTTGCTACCCACCATTGCTATGTGGAACCTCTCGGATGACGATGTCTTGCCGTTGGGCTCAAATGTTGGTACTAGGGTCGGTCATTTAGTCATGGTACGGTGGGGGGACATTGGGTGTTCGTTTGGACAAAATATTGGTATCATACCCCACCACAGAATGGGTGTATCGTGAAGGGGGGTTACCATACCATGACTAAATGCCAGTCTCTTGTACTGTACCAGATCCTTCTGGTGCTCGAGTCTTCTCAAGTGCCAGGGGAGACGTTCCTGTGCAAGACAGGGATCAATTAAACATTTGCAGGTTAACCTAAATTAACCGTTCACAAACTTTATCCCAGTTCATCCCAGGTATGATAATATACCGGTATGTATTTAATCAATGTGTTCAGGCACAGTACGAGTACTAGTACAGTACTTGCCTGTTAGAATTACCTGCACCTGTCCCAGGCATTGAGCACCCAGAAACAGGGATTTCGCAAAATACATGGCAAGAAATCCGTGCGTATCATATCTATTTCCACGCACCAATTACAAGTACGGTACCGGTACTCGAGTCTCCAGGACAAGGCAGCTTAATGAGCAAAGCTCAAAAATCCGGGAAGAGATGCGGTGCCACCCGTCAAGGAGTTTCCCGCTGTCCCACGCGGTGTGACTTGGCTGTGTTACAATGTCATCATAACCCCCCCCCCCACCCCAATGCCCTTGTTGTGTGGAGTGGCCCCCCGCTCAAGAAGCAATTATACACATTAGGTTGAGTGGTTGCTAGATGCTCTCCTCCGTCTGGACCGTGCTTCTCGTCGCTGTTTACAAATCTACGGTATATCCTGTGAGCAATTATTCCTTTTTCACCCCCGTCAGATCCCCACAAATTCAATCTGCCTGTAACATCAAGTTGTCATCTACGTATACTATGTACAGTACAGTACCCATTCTGCGACGAAGGCCGATGTGGTAAAAAAGTCACCACTAAATATTGCTAACCCCAGCAGACACTCAACGCGGCGAGCTCTCGCCTCCGCCTGGCTTACCGATCCGCTCATGGTATTAATAATATCATGGTCGGTGCGACCTCAGAATCCCCACGGTGGCGCCATACGCCCCACTCTCGCCCTGTGCCCTCTCTGAATACGGTACTGTACCGGTAAATTCACTCGAGTATGAATACTGCTACGCTTTCTCGCCCCGGTGATTTCCCGTTTAATTTGCCGCAACACCGACTTGTTTTAGTCCTAAGTTAGTACTGTACTGTACTGTACTGTACAAGGTATAACGCCCGGTTCAACATACAATACATTGCCAGCAAACTCGTGGCGGGAACAATAGGTGTAAGATTTCGGACGGGTGAGAAATTCCGCACCGAGACTGAAGATCTTGCATCAGCGATAACGCAACCAAGAGACCTTGCATAGCGTACGAATCATCATCCATCACTCAGCTTTTGGCTTTTGGCAATTAGATGTCGTTGAAATTCCCCCTCTAGGATAGGAGTGGGGGAATCATCGCACCCTCAGCCCTCGGCTAAGACACACAGAAAAAAGGAAATTCCACACGTGTTACTATCATACGAGAAGCAATGACAACGTCTTAGAACCTTCTTATTATATTCGAATATTTGCGGTATGATGGGCGAGATGAAATCGTCAGAGCCACCCGTCAGGTCTCACCTCTTTTCTGCTATTAGAGTTGTCAATCTGATATGTTCGCCCATAATTTCAGCTGTATCATATCGCCTGAAATCCTGTGGGAATTCATTGCCCACCCTTGGGTCTTTGCCCATCGTTTAGAAGAAATACGTTCAATTTACACATAGGAAGTATAGCAAACATAAATTTTACTGGCCAACCCCCGAAACTTCTCTCTTGACATACATAAAAGACCTTGATTAAACCGCACGCCCAATAAACGCTTGAAATTATGAGATTCTTTAAAAAGCAAGAATAGCCCCAAGAATAGCCGCTACGACTGCCGTGATCGCCGGGCGGTTGTTTGAGGCGGAACCCTGGAAGGCGGGGGGTAGAGGCGTCTCTGGCGCACCCCCTGGGGTCTCCTTCGGCCAAGAAGGGGCTTCTGGAGCAGGAGCTGCCGGTGGAATGGGGATCGGATAGGATCTTTCAGGAACCCTAGACGGCTTTGGAGGAGAAACTTCCACCTCCCCTTTGGGAATGGGAAACTCAACTTCAATCTCTTTGGAGGACCCAGGTTCGGGATACTCAGCCTCTGTAGTGGCTGGGCATTGGGGCGTAGGGATTTGACCTCCAACTTCTGCTTCGCCAGAGGGGACCTCGGGTGTGAATGGTGCCGATAGTGGCTGGGAAACCGGGCCATGATCGGGCTTCGGGCGTTCTAAGGGAGCGCTGGGTGCTTGACCGACCTCTATATAAAGTTAGTATTATACTGGATGGAAGAAACAGATAATGTAGGGAAAACGCACCGGAGCCGAAGAATGATTTCTCATTCGGGGTAGGTGCGTGAGAGATCGGCGCCCATGTTTCCGGAGTTGGAACTTCACATTCGATCTCAGCCTCGGGAGCTGGAGCGGGTGTTGGGGCCTTGGGAATTTCAAGGGAAGGTCGGGGAGTAGCTTTGACAACCTTGGTTATTGTAACAGGGACAGGGGTCTTAACACCGGGCACATAGACGAGACTAGTGATCACCAGTTCCTTGGTAACGAAGACTTCCTGGGTAATATAGACCTCCTCCTTCTCTTTAATTGTTACTGGAATCTTGATCGTGTTGGCAACAGGAGTGGGGACACAAGGGAAGAATTCCGTGACCACTTGACCTGGCAGTACAACTTCTTTGGTTACGGTCGTGGCCACTGGGGTGGCGATTCCGGGAACAGATATCACTGTAGGGACGGGCACTTCTTTAGTGATGTAGACTTCTACAATTTCCTCTTCCACGACAGTAACGGGAATCTTGACCTCTTCCGAGATGTAAACATTATTCTTTTTCGTCACCGTCACTGGGATCCTGACCTCTTCGGGGATGTAGATACTTTTTTCCTTCGTGACAGTCACAGGAACCTTGATTACCTTGGATATGTAAACACTCTCCAGGACAGTTTTGGGGGCCTCGGTGGTGATGACTTTGTTCTCAACAATCACGCTCTCCTGCTTGATAACAGTGGTAGGAGGGATTGTTTTAGTGACTTGCACAGTGACCTCCTGCTCGCAGGTGACTGTCTCACAAGGGAGGACAATCTGTTCGATAAAAGTCTCACCCGGAGACACAATTTTCTCGGTTACTGTCTCACAGGGGAGTTGTTCGTAGAATGTCACACAAGGAAGTTGGATTTGCTCGATGACCGTTTCCCCAGGTAGCTGTTCGATATAAGTTTGTCCTGGGAGCTGAATTTTCTCAATGATGGTCTCTCTGGGAAGCTGAACTTGCTCCACATACGTCTCACCAGGGAGCTGAATCTGCTTAGTTATGGTCTGGCCTGGGAGTTGAACCTGCTCGACGACTGTCTCCACAGGGATGACGTGGGTAATGGGGACAAATTCGGTTGTTGGAGGGCAGGTAATACAGGGTTTATGTATCGATTCGACTTGCACGACTTCGGTAACCTGGACAACTTGAGTGACTGGCGAAGGCGCCCCAACGACCACCTCAGCTGGTGGAAGATCGTCTACAACATCCGCCGGGGCATTGAGATAGAAGAAGTTCTTCTCTTCACTGAACAAGAAGTTGTTCTCCGCAAAATTTTGCTCCGCAATGGCAGCATTCTCGTTCACAAGGTCGTTCGGATTTTGGTTCTGATTCTCGTTAGAGGATGCTAACTGATTCTGATTCTCGTTCGCGTTGTTTATATCATTCGTGTTTGTAATGATAATATCCGGGAAGACGATGTCGGTCATTCCAACAGGCATGACACCGCCTGGAAGGAAAGTCGTTCCCTGCCGTTGTGAACCAATAGCAACTGGGGGAACACCTCTGGGGCCTGCGGCGGGCTCCCCGGCGTCGACATTGACATTCTTTTCAACGTTCTTCTCAAATTTCTTGACAACCGCGACCTCCTCATTTCCTTTAGGCTTGGAGTTGATGTTCTTGTCCTTGTTGGTCACATCTAGCACCGGTACCTTCTCAGTATCGACTACATGGGATGCAGCGTCCCCATCTTTTTTTAGGTTAAGGTTTTTGACTTTGTTTTCCGTGTTAGCTACCTTGGTATTTGTGTTCTCGGAATCATTGTTGTCATAGACATTCCCCCCTTTATAAGTATTCTTCCGTACAGATGGGCGAGACTGCAGCTGGGGGATGACATCTTCTTTCCCCTCGATCATGAAATAAGGTCCATCTGCGACAGACTAGTCCACCGTCACCGGTCTGTTAACATAAGTGAGT